ACTTCGGCGCCCCTGTGATGGAGGCTTTGGCGAATAAAAGCAATCAATCAAACAATTAATGAATGACTAAGTGCATGTGCAAGGGTGCATGAAATGTCTCGAACGAAAAATCGCGTAGCTATGATATCCGCGCATGCGTATTACATTTGATTGTACTTGTACTTGTACCACTCTCGCTTCGCTTTCCCTCTCTACGCCCCCCCCCCCCCCCCTCTCTCGCTATCTCTCTCTTTCTCTTTCTGCCCCTCTCTCTCTCTCACTCTCGCTCTCTCTTTTTCTCCCTCTCTCCACCTCTCGATCGGCTTGTTGGTCTCTCGTTATGCATGTCTCCTACATAATGACCTACTTCTTAGTCAAAAGTGAAAACGGGCATGCGAAAGGGGGGGGGGGATAGGTCGAAGTCGAAGCAATTAATTTGCCCCCATTCCGTGGCCACTCCGAGGAGAAGGAACAACTTAAAAATAAATTGTACTATGTACTACTTTTATGACGTACCATCTTTTTCCGAATCACCCGATTTCAAACAGAATTGTGCAAATATAATAAACATTAAGTCAGTTGATATCTTTATCTCAGACATCATATACATTATTATAATGATTGTGACCTGTAAATTTAAAATATTATAATCCATTTATTTGGCATGGAGTGGCACATTTTCCGTGATAATAAGCTGTTGATCTGGCGATTGTAATTATACAATGAAAATATAAGTATAATCTTGTCAGTAGCGGTACTAAAGATAGGAGCCGGGGGTTCATGCCCAACTAAAATTATTTTATGTTTGAAATATGCAATGAGTGTTTTATTTGTACACATGATCAATTCAGCCATTGGGCTGCGACACATGTTTTTTAATAAACCTTGATTCAATTCAATCAATTCAATTCATTGAAGCAACCGACCTCCACCCCCACCCCCCAAAAAAAGCTATTTTGATTTTCTTTTTAATTTAAGCGAGTCACAAAATTGAGAAATTAATGAAGTACCCCAAGCAGGGGCGTCGCCAGAGGGGGTGTGGGGGGGGGGTGCGACCCCCCCCCCCCCACCTGTCAGAATATTGTCGGTAAAATTGCGCTGCCGTCGGGAAAAAGAGAAAAGGGGAAGGAGAAAAAGAGAGGGGAAAAAAGAGAGGGAAGAAAGGAGAGGGAAAAAAAGAGAGGGAAAGGGAAAGAAAATAAAAAAAAGAAAAGGAAAAGAAAAGAAAGAAAGGAAAAGAAAGGAAAGAAAGGAAAAGAAAGGAAAGAAAAGAGAAGAAAGAAAGAAGAAAAAGAGGGAGGAGAGGAAAGAAAGGAAGAGAAAGAAAATAAAGAAAAGGAAAAAAGAGTGAAAGGGAAACAAAAGAAACGGGGGATGAAAGAGAGGAGAGAGAGGGGAGGTAAGAGTCTGAGAGAGGAGGAGTGGGAGTAAAAGAGAGAAGGGGGTTGTTGGGTGGAGTCGTCTTGTCGAGGGAGCAAGAAAGACACGGGTAAATATGTTGCTTTGTCGGGTCAGCTGTGTCGGTATTCGTGCTCTATCCTCGTGTACTATATCAATGCAGAAGTTTGAAGTCGGTGAAATGTATATTGTCGGTCGGCCGACAAGTTTTTTTCCCTACGAACTGTGACTTCTTATCCGCTGTGACGCCATCGAGAGTGACTACAACTACAACACTTGTATTTTCTCAAAGTTTCATTTTCCTATAATATCAGTTAAAGAAATCAGAGGTTTAAATTTTTTGGGGAAAATAAATTCAAACAAGGTTTAAGAGTCAACAACGGTACGATGAATCGTCTTCCTTTCTTTATATTGTGATGAAACGCCAAAAATTCCGCGCTTCGCGCGAGAGTTGGAAACTGAATTGATTATTTAGAGTAAAAAACGGTACAACGAATCTTGTTCTTTCTCTAATGATATTAGGAAACGTCAAAGCTTTCGCGCTTCGCGCGGGAGGGGGAAGCTTCAATCAGATAAGGTTTAAGAGTCGAAAACGGTACAACGAATCTGCTTCTATCACTAATAATTTAAGGAAACGTCAACGCTTCCGCGCTTCGCGCGAGAGGGGGAAACTGACTTCAGAAAAAATAATAGGGCTTATTTAGAGTCGAAAACGGTACAGCGAATTGTGTTCTTTCTCTAATAATTTGAGGAAACGTCAAAGCTTCCGCGCTTCGCGCGAGAGGGGGAAACTGAATTCAGATAAAATTAATAGGGCTTATTTAGAGTAAAAAATGGTACAACGAATCGTGTTCTTTCTCTAATGACATGAGGAAATGTCAAAGCTTGCGCGCTTCGCGCGAGGGGGAAAAACTGAATTCAGATGAATAGGGCTTATAGAGTCGAAAACGGTACGACGAATCGTCTTCTCTCTCTAATAATTTAATGAAACGTCAAAACTTCCGCGCTTCGCGCGGGAGGGGGAAGCTTCATTCAGATAAGGATTAAGAGTCGAGAACAGTACACCGAATCGTCTGCTTTTTTCATAATTTAATGAAATATCAAAGCTTCCGAGCTTGGCGAGGGAGGGGGAGAAACTGAATTCGGACAAGGTTTAAGAGTCGAGAACAGTACACCGAATCGTCTGCTTTTTCTCATAATATAATGAAACGTGAAAGCTTCCGCGCTTTGCGCGGGAGGGGGGGGGAACTGAATTCAGAAAAGGATAAACAGTAGAGAACGGTACAGCAAATCGTCCTCTTTTTTTGTAATAATTTAATGAAACGTCAAAGCTTTCGCGCTTCGCGCGGGAGGGGGGAAACTTCATTCAGCCAAGGATTACCAGTCGAAAACGGTACAATTAATCGTCTTTTTTCCTAATAATTTAAGGAAACGTCTAAGCTCCCGCGCTTCGCGCGGGAGGCCCATCGCCCACACCCCCTAATGAGCGCGCTTTTAAGTGATTCTCTTGCTCACTACCGCCCCTCCCTAAAATAAGATCCTAGCTCCTCGCCTGCATTAAGATATATAGCTATGAAGCTGACTAAATTGAAGAAATAATTCGTATATTTATGTCGTCGAGGAAAAGGACCATTTTGCGCATATGCAAGTACTATCGATATTCCATAGGAAAAACAATTTAGCCTTCGGCCCCAGGATTATAGGGTTGAATTTGTAGATATTGGACATTTAATTTTGTCGGTAATTGGTGGCTAGTTTTGTCGGTAATCGTTGGCCTCTACACCCCCCACTGAAAAAGGTCTAGCGACGCCCCTGACCCCAAGACCCTACCCCACTAAAAATTATTCTAGAACCGCGCCGGGATCTCGCCCAGAAGCTTCGATAGCATTAAACGAGTAAAGGAAATTATACCTTTCTTTACATCTCAAAACAAGCGGCTTGTTAAAAAGACACAATTATAATTGATTCCATTTAATACAAGTAAAGGAAGCAATAATAATAATCATGATAATACAAACGCTACTTATAAAGCGCTTACCACCGAAGTCTCTAAGTGCAACAACCAAATACATGTACATCAATAATGAAATGTATCACATGTCATGTACAGTGTACTTATTTCAGCTCCTTTTCTGATAGATACAAATCACTTTTCTTATAATCATGATAGTATAGTAACAGTAACAATTTCTGTGTCACGACAAAACAAATACGTCCACAAAATACAAAAAGAAACGGAAGTCAAACTTTGGTTCATGACATAACAGGAGTTCCAAATTTCCAATATATTAGCCAGTATAACGAAAATTAATAATAATAATAACATCAAATATATACTACGAGGGTAATTATGTTTGACAAATTACAAAGATAAGATAGATGAAATGAGAATGTTTATGAATTTATCAACAAAGTAAATGGCCTTCTTTACATTATTTTCCAAAGACATATGGCTAATCATATAAGAGTACGGGTAGACATAAACTAAACTAAACAAAAAAAAACAGATCAAATTGGGAAAATGCATGATGCTAAATTGAAGTTTTGGTATGTACGTATAGGATTTCATTTCCATCTCCGTTTCATTTTCCACAGAACTGCAGATGTATGAGGGGATACCTTGGCTGATTCAAAGTGATAAAGTACTCTGGGGGAGAATCTAGGATTTGGAAAGGGGGGGGGGGGGGGTCCGATTCCCCAAAAGCGTACGTATAACAAACAAAATTAGTGACAAATATTTTAACGGTCAGCAGATTTGTAAGGTGTTCAAGCACACCGCAAAATGACAAGCAAGCAAAGAATATGAACAAAAATATCTAAATTAATTAAGATGAAGTGTTATTGCGAAGAGGGTGGGCTCTAATTCTCATAAATTATATCAATGACGAGCCATAAACCACATAAATGGGTTTCGGATCCAAAGGACCCCCCCCCCCCCTCCCCTCCGGATCCACCCGTAGAATATAATACAAATGAAAAGAGCTACTGCATTTACTTACAGGCAGAAGACTGTTTATAGTTCAACACAATTGGTTAATCATGATTATTTGGGAGATAGATATTATAGGGACACAAAGCGGAACTGCGACCAATAACAATAGAAAGGAACGTTGTAAATTGTAAATGATGATTCCCCCCCCCCCCCTCCCCATGCCCATGACAAAAATCTGACGACCACCGCTATACAGGTTTTTATCTGAAATTGCATTAAAAAATCTCGTTAATACCATTCGCCATTCCCAAAGAATAAAGAGTAAAGAAGCTGGGTGAAAAAGGTATTTATATTAGTTTCACGGAATAATAATAATAATAACAATTCGATTTATATTTGTTAGCGCAGCTTCTATGGAAATATACTCTACTGCGCTGTAATGAAAAACAAAACTTCTAAACAGTACTACTTGACAGACACAAAATAAACCAATATTCTTTTTTAAATACAAAACTATTCAAAATCTCCTGAAAACAAGTGCGTCATCAACAAATCTTTGAAGACAGCAACAGATGAGGCCGTTCTTATGTCTAATGGTAAGTTATATTCCAAAGCTTTGGAGCGGCGCAACTGAAAACACAATCTCCAAGAATTTCTTTTGTTTTTTGTGTGAGGTAGCTTTAGAAGCAGCTTGTCCTGTCAACTTCACGTATGGATATTATTTAAAAGAAAATAATTCAGACAATTAATTTGGGCTTGACCATTCAATGCTTTGTTAACAAGCAAAAGTATTTTGATTTCAATTCTGTACCTTATTTGTAACCAATGTAACTCAATCAAAACATATGTAATATGGAAAACAATTGAGGAATTAGACACAAGTCTTGCACTAGTATTCTGAACACGCTGCAACTTGATTATTTGTGAATCTGGCAAGCCAAACAATAGTCATTGCAAAAATCAAGCCTACTGCTAATAAAAGCCTGGATAAGGCTTTCTGAGTTTTTCCGGTCTAAGTATCTACGAATGTGACGGATATTGTATAACATACAAAAGGCAGATTTACATGTGTTAGATATGTGTTTCTCCATGTTTAAACGAGAGTCAAGCAATACACCCAGATTTCTCACAGAGCTTGACGGTTTCACTTCCGAGTCTCCAACTGGTATTATGATCAACACCTAGCTTTGAAACTTGTCTGGATGTTCCAACAATGCGTAACTCTGTTTTTCTATCATTAAGCATTATCTTATGTTGGAACATCCAAGAATGGATAGTCATGATTCTAACATTGGGATATCATCATCTTGATGTTCTTTATCAGAGCTGAAAGAAATGAAGGCCTACACTCGAATTATGTAATTTAATTTAAATCTGAAGGCAGGATGATCGAACTTTGTGCATAGATTTGATATCGTCCCAGGGCTACTATATTAAGTTTACTCCGAGCTCTACCACCATCCCCCCTGGTTATCTAATCCGACTCACCACTATCCACCCCTGGTCCTTCCACTCCGGGGTCGGAGGGTTCCGACATCATCAAATACACAATGGCTGCAACTTCTACTTTCTTTGGCTTTCTTCCAGCAAAGATCGGCTGAGTGGAAACACTGATAGTATCTGAAGGACTGATACCTGATACCTTGCTCAAAGAACCTTCTTTCGTCATCACTATGGGGTTCTCAGGTAGGTAGAAGTCGGAGTCTTTGTCCTGAGGCCTTGTTACAAGAACCATTACGTAACTTGCATTGGATTGATACGATTTGCTTGATGTGATCTCATATCTCACGCCCCAGGCTTCCGTGTCTCCCATTTGGATAGGCTCCAGCCTCAGCACGAAACTGAAGAATCGGGATCCAGTTTCCAGTGACCAAGCTCCGGTGGCACCCCTGACCTCACACTTCATCTCGGTTTTGTAAGCATCGATGTTGATCTCTTTAAAGCAACCATTTTGACGCTGTGATCTTTGAGAGCGATTAGAGCTGCTTATAACCTTTCCAGGTGGAACGAAGTTCAGGTACAGTCGTGGTTCAAAGTCTGATTTCTTGAGAAAAGCGTAACTTGCTTGAAGATGGCTACCTCGGCTATCGGCATTGGAGACAGTCAGACCTACCTCGATGGAGAGAGCTCTGTACTTGAACGACTCATTCAAAATCGAAGGGAAATAGTCAGTTGCAAATTTGACGATTGGTGAAGCCTCTTTGAGATGCAAAAGTTGGGATATTTCAACTAAAGGAAATCGAATTTTGGGGACTATTTCGAGATAAAGATCCTTGTTTTCTTCTATGCTGCCTTTTGCCTTGAGCCAATCATCCACGCGAGTGATCACCTCCAATTCATTATCCACAACAAGATCTCTCCTTTCCAGGATACTACAAAGCTCCTTCAGACTTAATCCTAACCATGATGCCTTTGGGATGTACTGGAAGTACAGAGATAGTGTACGCAGGCAATCGTTCTTCAAGGAAACGTAGTCGTATTCATCTGTATCCCTCAACCACGTAATGGCGCCGACCATACTCCCTTGGTTTATCATGTCTCCTACCCAGTCCTGAGCCATATCGCCCAACTTCTTGAGTCCCAGTCTATTGGCCAGACTCATCACCATTCTCACGTTGCCCGATGAGAAACTCATCTCGCCCGTGTAGAGGAAATTCAAGACCGTTTCAAAAACCTCGATCTCCTTGTCGGTGGCATCTTGAGTGAGCTCTATGACGTTATCAGGAGAAGCAGTCATAATCAGATTTGCCAATTCATCGCTCCAGGAACCCAGCACGAGCCGATGAGCAGCGAATGTTCGTTGACCAACCTTGACATGGATGTCTGTAAGTTCTTCCCTGTTCAGGAAAGGAACCAACTTCTTCGACAGGGCGCTCCGACATGAATAGGACCGTTTACCATCTTTACTTGTATCCATTGCAGCAGCTGTTTCTTGACCTTCTTCCTACGAGAAAATATGAATAAATTAAAAATGATTAGACTTATCATTTAGTCTCATCTACCATGGGTAGCTTCGTCATCAGTATATTCATAATACTCTTCCTGGCCCTTCAATTTTTGTAAGCACCGTTCAAGGATGGAACCCATGACCCTTTGAGAGTAGGGCCCTTTATTAATACCACAGTGCTCATGGGTATTAAAAGAATTAAACCAGTATGCATTATTATAAGCGTGCATGAGGTGAAAAACTCACACTTTTTGCCCGGACACACCTGCTGTTCTAATATTAACAGAGCCCCATCAATAACATCACACACAAATCAAATTGATTTGATGTCTCTTTCTTTGTTTTATTGTAGGCCTAGACATGTTTTATTACGACTTAACGCCATTAAACAATGGTATTCGAGTATAAATAGCAACATACAAAACATATTATATCGAATATTTTCCAATGCAATGCCGGACAATCATCTTAAATCGAGAGTGACATTTTTGTCACAAAACTGATGGGCCAAACAATGTGTTTGATAAGTACAAGTTTATTGGTAGGGTATATAAAGGTAGTCAATCTGAAAAGAAAATCTTTTTTTTTCGACAATCCTCCTGAACTTGTCTTGTAATAAAAAAAAAATTATCTTACTCTTTTTTAATCGAGTCCTTTCTATTTGTTCATGTTTCAGATTATTATTAGAATGGGAAAGAATATCAAACATGAATCAACAAGAAATAAGTCAGTTGTATCAAAATGAAGGTGAAATTAAAATCGAGTCCGGAACATACCTGTTTCAGTTTTAGCCGCAATGAATTCTAAAGGGATCTTCTCGCGACCACTGTGAGACCGACCAGTGAAGTTTTCTAATGCACTGTCTATGCTGTAGACATAATGCTTAGGCATTAATAATGCTTAGGCCTGATATGAAACATGTCTCGGAAAATCATGACCTTAGTGAAAATGTGTCCCACTTCAGTTAAGCATGTATGTAAGCCTATATTATATCTCTTGTTTTTGTTATTGTAGTCTCCATTCAATTTTGAATATCGCACAAATATTTTTTCGATTCATTAACATTAATCAATTGAAAAAATCACTCGCTTCCAAATTTTACTTGAATATGTTACTGACTCAAAGATGAGAATCGTGTTTTGTGTACAATGTATATTATTATTAGCTGCATATGAATTTGTTAGCAACCATTCAAATTTTGCCACAGGTAAATTAGTTCTTTTTTGCAAAAAAATGTCGCTCTTTTTGATTGCGCGCTAAAATATAACTTCATTCCGGCACTTTGATTTTAAAAAAGTACGGCCAAAATATATAGGACATTGATCAGTGGTAGACCGATATCTCTGTGACATTAAAATTAGCCACTGGTTTTCCCCCATTGCGCCATCAACATAATAATGCGTATAGCTGGCGTATTCTGCATCCCCCCCCCCCCCCCCCCTATCTTTTCTTTCCTTTTATGGTAGCCTGGCAGTTACTGTGGAAAAACCCGACCCCATGCACGCTCAGCTGATGAAGCGGAGTTTTGTTTCGGGTTTTCCCACACTAGGTATTCCCCACTAGCGCTGCGCAATTATTAATAATTAAAATTATCATTAAAATACGAAATATGTTGCTGAAGTTGAGAATTTTGTTTTGTGTACAATGTATATTAGCTGCATATGAATTTGCTAAAAAAACCATTCAAATGTTGTCACAGGTAATTGTTTATGGAGTTGACCTTAATACTTTTTTTTTTTTTTTTGCAGTGTTGCTTTTTTTTTTAATGCGCGCTAAAATAAAATATAACTTTAATCCGGGACTTTGATTTACAAAAAGTACGGCCAAAATATATTGGACATTATTCAGTTAAACAGATATCTGTGACATTATCCCATCTGGTTAACACCATTACGCCCTGCCAGTGGCGTATTCTACCACCCCCCCCCCCCCCCCAATCGTCTGTTATTTGATTTTGTGGTATAAAAATGCTCGATGCGAATATAACATCAGGGTGTGGGAAAACCCGACCCAATGCACGCTCAGCTGAGGCGCAGCATAGTTCGGGTTTTCCCACACCATGGTATTCCCCACGTATTGCGCAATTATTAATCATTAACATATTAAAATCAGATGTAACACTAGATTGACTATTGAAATATTGGCATCATATATAACACTGCACGCAAAACAAGTTATTACTTAGCAAACACTTGCCAATTGACGTTTAGGTAACTGAAGTGAGCTGTATTTTTTAGCCTGCCATTTTCGGATCTTGAACTCGTCCACAAATTGGAAGTCGTTTTCAGTCAGTGAGGATCAGCTCAACTATCAGGAGTATCTACAGTTACAATCGATAGGTTCGTCCTAAAATTCTCTTCAAAATGTCGTCTGATATTATAATAGTATGTTGCTTCAACAGTCTAGATTTCTGCTCGGAGTTCGAAAAAATGCACAAAAATACAAGAAATAATGATGCTCCTTGGACGAAGAAATTGTTTTACACTTCGTCTACGGTGCATCGTTATTTATTGTATTTTGTATTATATATATATATATATATATATATATATATATATACATGTATGTTAATTCACATACTATTTCACCATTTCTGTACAGCGATGGTTTGTGTCCTTAATTTGTCAAAGATCATTTTGATGATGATGATGGTGGTGATGATGAGCGGGATGATGAGTGCTTTACCTATAAGTATACAATTTTTCAGTTTTGTATCGGATGTATCCACTTAGTTCTTATAGGTATAAACGGATTATTCTCAATAAGAGATGCTAGGCCTATACATCATTTTGACTGCATGTGCATGTAAGAATATGCTGATGATGACAATTTGAAAGGAATATAGTATTTTGATTATAATAATGCTGTAGGAGAACGACAAGTCCTGGGAAAGCGCGGGAACTCAAGTCATGCACGCGTCCAGATTAAAGTGTTGAAACGACACCAAGGAGTGAAAAAAATGTTGAAATTGCACCCTGTTTTGATGGTAATGACAAATATCTGTCGTAGCGGTGAGCCTATTTTATGCCGGTTTCAAACCGAAACTGATGTGCAAAAAGTGTTGACTTTAAAAATGCACTGAAATGCTGTTATCCATCGTCACCAACGACAGATTGCCTTAATTATTATATAAGAAAATAACGGATAGCCTATATAAATCAGTGATAGTATCAATCATCAGTAGGAGATGAAGGCGTTTATGGGGGATTTTCTTTCCCCGTACTTACACAGACTGAAAGTACACAGCATGGTCAATGATGTTTCGACAGTTTGATGACAGCGACGATGAACCTTACGGCGCGGTGTATGATTACAACGATGATGACGATGACGAGTACGATTCGGATGATTATGAGGATGAATATGAAACTTCGAATCGCCACGTTCAGCAGGAAATTAGGGCCGAACAAGAGAGGAAAGAGAGGGAAAATTTTCAGGTAAATAAATGACATTAAACGATCCCGTATTAAGAGCCCGAAGTGACCATGTTCATCTCCCGTATATATATATGTCCCAATCCACCCCCCCCCCCTCCGAAACAAAAATGGAAATACTTTTTTTTTCTCGAATCTTTCCGTAAACTGAACATTTCATTACAGGTTTCAGGTCTTAAAGCAAAAACCAATTCTGAGCTGTTTTTTTTTAACTTTATGATCATGACCAATGATCTCAATAATATAACTGTTTATTTTGCTAATTACTTCACTTTAGATATCTTAGAAGAGAAATGAAAACCTTTTAGCATATTCATGATGCAGTGAGTAGAGTGGCACGTTTGCATCTAAATATAATACCATATACAGTAAACTTATGTATGACAACAAATGATTATGGTTACCAAATAGGCCAATTTATATCCTGCATCAAAAATTTATCGGCTTCTGATTGGTTGAGAGCTCGTCACATGACCAAAAATATTTGAGCTATTTTTAGAAAGTACTATATGAGAGTACTATTTTGGTTTACTATTTGGGAGTTGAAAAAAAAAAAGGTGATTTTTTTTTTTTTAATTGAATCAACTTTTTTTTTTCAAATCTTAATTTAATGAAAACAAAATATTTTAAATCTTTTTAGATAAAAATTGACATATTTTTTGTTCTAAATTTTTTTTCCCAAAAATGTTTTTTTTTTTTTTTTTTTTTTTTAAATAAATTTTTGATGCAGGATATAAAACAAATATACCATGCCTTCAATTCGAGGTACTGGTTAAACTATGGACCTTGGTGACTCCAAAAGTACCATTTGCTTCGGGGCTGCGCCCCTCAGCAAATAGTACTATTGGAGTCACCTCTTGCGCATAGTTTTAACCAGAACCTCTCAAGGCAGTGTATATTTGTATAGTATATCGGCTATGCAGTATTAAAAATGAAGGTTCCTCTGGTTGAACAAAATTGCAACGTTAAAAGACCACCATGTCAATACCAAATTATGCAAGAAAAAGATGGTCAGAAATGTGATTTCAAAAGGAACAGTTGATTATACCCATTAATGTCGGCATATTTTTATAAATAAAAGTACTCTTTTCATATTTTCTCAGAACGCTCAGCAAAACCTGCTCAGCCATGTGCGCGTCGGCGTAGATGCAGTCAGCAGAGCAACAGGGACCTTGTATGATGAGCAACGGTACAGTGACGTCACCCTGGTTGTTGGAGATCAAAGGTTCCACGCCCATCGCCTGGTGCTCAGTGCATGGAGCGATGTCTTCAAGACGATGCTTTGTAACTCATCTTGGCAATCGCATGACACGACCGGACAACCAACCTCAAAGTGTCAGGATCTCGTCGAGGAAGAATGTTGTGAAGAGGTTTTCGGCAACTTCCTCAAGTTTCTTTATACTGCCTCTGTAGACCTGACCAAAGGCAACGTCTTGCCTTTGGCCCTGCTAGCTGACAAGTACTTGGTGAAAGAGTTAAGGGAGCTATGTGACGAATTCATCCGCGAGAAACAGAACGATGCTCAGGAAGTCGTCACCTTCATTCACTTGGCCTCTCAATTTGGCATGCATGAAACAGTCGAGATGTGCCTCCAAAGTCTGTTGTGCAACTTCAGTGTACTGACGCCAGATCAACTTTTAAGTCTAAAAGGTGAGCACCTTATATCTCTTTTCGACAGTGGACCACGGTTGATGGTAGATGATGAGTTCACTCTCTTCAAGAAGATCGAGCCCTGGTTGGACCAGTGTCAAAGTGGGGATACGCTTCTTAGTATCATCAAGCTCATTCGTTTCCCCTACATGAATGCATTACAACTGAAGAAAGCCAGAGAGACGCCTGCCTTCCGCAGAGCCCAGGAAATGATGCCTGATATACTCCTGAAATCTTGGCAGCAACAGGCATTGTACAAAGAAGGAAATCTGGAGGATCTTCCAGAGGACTTTCCATGGCCCAGACTGTACTTGAATTCAAACGATAAAGCCAGATTCACAGACAAGAAGGTTTGCTCATCCCACGACCAACCAAAGAATGAGCCGATCGAAGTTCGCATTGATGGCAGTAGAAAACATCACTCATGCGTTTCTTGGAAGGGCAAGCGAATAGGACAAAAACAATTCTTCAAATTACAAGCATCTGCTTTCAGTTTCTTCATGGAGGTTATCCGGAGCCCGGACTCACCAAGTGAAGTTATCGTGCAAATAGATCCACATGATTTATTACAGAAAAGAATTCATTTGGGAGTACGAGCTCAAGTTCATGGTGGGAAAAAGCCTTTCTATTTCTCAAAGTGTCTCCATCCGGCGCCACCAATAACCCCATATCAACGGAAGGTTACTTCAAGAGATACCCAATTCACATTTCCTACTGGGATCTCCAACCCTAAAAAAATGACACTCCATGTTACAGTCATTTTTGAGGACGAAGATGAGAAAACTACATAGGCGTGCTTGTGGGTTTTTATTTTTGAATCCGAGGGGCTTTTCACTTTAAAAAATCGGAACAAATTCTCGCTATCGCCCAAACCCCCTAAAATGCCCGGGTGTAAATTTCGTGTCCCGATTCCAAATGCACTGTGGGATAGTTTAGTGCCTTTGTCGCTTTCGATCCTTTTCATGCAGCTGTGTACGTGTGTAAATTAAGTGACAAACTTTGTATTCAGAATGTGATTTACTTTCTTTATTATTTCTTAATTTTTGTATTGTCTTTAAGAGCATCATATACATTTCCATTTAATTTAATTTTGCGAAATCGCTGAATGGGTAGTATATTATTAGCAGGATATAAGCAGAAGAGAATTTGTTGTACTTTCTTCCAGCTGCCTGGCAATGGTTGACACTATTTGCGGATTTATGGGCCACATCCGGCCTGTGCCCCCTTTTGAACCCAAGTGCCATAAAAAAAAATCCCTTATTTTCTAAGGTGTTGGCCTTGATGTATTCATTTGTATATAATATATACATGTATATTTATTAATTAATTCATTCATGCATTTGTTTCATTTTTATCGCTTGATTGCTTGTCAGAAAAACTAAGGAATATGGTGCCCCCTCTTAAAAGAAATGAAACCCTAGATCCGCCCCTGGTTGACACCATTGCCTATGTAGTTTACCAGTGCTCATGGAGCCTTGCTTTAATGAATAGTGTAAATATTGATCAGGCTGTAAAATGTGCATAGACTTCGTAGTTTTACCTTGTAAATCAAAAGTGATAAAACAAGACAAATGATATGTCATATCATCTTTATGGTTTGTTAAAATGTAGGCTAATGGAATCTGATGCATTTCACAGAAGTTTGATACATTCAATAAAGTTTCTACAGTTTAAAATCGTTTCATATTCACCATTTTAAAAGACAAACATTCGTTACGTTATTAGTACCGATGATTGTTATTATTGACTATTGTTTGATAACATTGTCATTATCGCTTCTATGATTCATTATCTAATTTTGTTGAGATAAAAGTATGAATGTAACGACTAAAAGTTAAAGGTTCAAACTTTATCTCTCAAACTATACTAATTTGCATTTCAATACGTAAATATTTACACAGAAAAGTTCGAACATAAAAAGAGGCACAAATAATATACATCCTTTAATTAAAAAAAAAAAATCCGCATCATCACCACTCTTACATAATACATGCAGGCCCCGCGGAATGTTCTTCAATGTGTGGGAGGGGGAGGGGCTACAGTATTTAGTTGAGTGTAAATTGTCGTGGGGTCCAGAGGCAAAGCCGGGGTCAAGGTTTTTTTTTAGGCATTCACATAGGGTCAGATGAGCATTGATGGGCCCGTCTTAGGGCCTCCTAGGGACGGAGCCCCCGGAAGCTCAGGGGTTAAGACATTAAATGAACGTCAGATGAGCATATAAATACCTTACATGTGACACTGGCAGGTCACTAATTGGCGTGGGGTCCAGGGGCGGAGCCGCCAGAAGCTCAGGGGTTTTAGGCATAAAATTTGGTCAGATGAGCATATTTTGATATCTAATTTATGCTACTAGCAGGGAAAATCCCGGGAAATTATGTAATTTCAGCAACATTTGTAAATTACTTGTATCGAATTAAAAATAAACATCGTTTGAATTCTTCTTTTTTTTTTTGGGGGGGGGGGGGGTAACTGCCCCCCCCCCCCCCATCAGCATCAGTACGCCAGTGCTTAGACACACCACCAGACCGACTCTAAACCGCTGCTAGACCGTCAGATATTCTTGACCATTATGATGTAATGTCATTGTTTGATTGATCTGTTATCGGTCCCATCGGTGTGACTGGGGTCGAAAAGTACTGTCCTCTTAAAGTTCACTACCGAATGAAATGTTTTTGTATAAGCCATCTATACTTATGACAAGAAGAGTCATGATAAAGGAGAAAGATTGCGTATAGATTGAGAAGAGAGAGAGATGTCACTTTAATGAATTTGGACGAAATTTATGCTGTAAATGTCAAAAACTGTTGGGAAAACATAATAATGTGAACTTCTCTGGCCAGATAACATTTGAAACAATTGAATACAAGAAGTAAGGCATTTTTGCCAACAACGAAGAATAATATTAGAAAAGTAGGAGGCAATGCATGCATTAATTATGATTTGAGCAAGAAGTCATTTGAACACTACATTATGGATATACTTAACCCGCATATAAATGTTCAAAATTCCAATCAAATGAAGAGTTGTCGCGTGGTCTAGTGGATATGTCGGCGAACTTTTGATCACATGGTTCGCTGCTCGAGTCCCACCTAGGCACTAATGTCCTTTCTCAAGACATTAATCTTCGTTTGAGGTGTTAAAAGGGTACCCGGTAGAATGCGAATGTTAATGTGGATAAGCATATGCGCGCTTGGAAAATGGCGCCTGGCCTGCATATTCCCCATTATCATTAGCAGAGTAGCAATTGAATCCAATGACCGGGATAATAATAAATGTGACTATTATTCTTATCATTAATAAAATGAGTGAAAAATGAAATCGATACCGTTTGTTTTATTGTAGGTACGTGTGTGCGTTTGTGGTGACCTACGAATGCGGACACACACCTGATGTTTCACCCATCAACCGTGGTCACAGAAAAAACCCAGGACGTCCACGGTTTTGTGTGGGTGTGTGTCTGTTGGGTCTGCGTGTGGGTTAGTGTGTGTGTATGTATGTGAGAGCTGTGATTGGAAATGCTTTGGATGCAATAAAAACAAATAAGCAGTGAAAATACTTTATTATTCTCCCGGGGAGACGCCACATTTCATCTATGCATGTATAATTGCAAATGGGGATAGAAATCTTGCAGAATTTCCTTCTTTCCAAAAATGTTGATTATATTGATTATACATGTTTTTATTTTTTATTAAAAAAATGCTGCATTTTTCGGTGAGGGCATAATGATGCTAATGAAAGAGATTGAGTGCACGACGATGAGAGAGGGAGAGAGAGAAAGCGAGCAAGAGTGGAAGAGAGAATGAATGAGAAAGAGGGATGAGAGACTTTTCTGAGAGAGTGAGCGTGAGAATATTATTGACCATTGTGACGCCTCGAATGGCGATACATTGGGTGCAGTATTAAAATTTTTGATACCACAAACTTCAGCATAGAATTATGAAAGTGTATGCACATTCAATAATGCCGAACGTGTAATCTACCCCCCCCCCCCTCTCTCTCTCTCTCTCTCTATCTCACCTCTCTCTCTCTCTCTCTCTGTCTCACTCTCACTCTCTCTTGCTCGATCTCCCTCTTTCTCTGTCTCTTTCTCTGTCTCTCTCCCTCTGTCTCTCTGTCTGTCTCTCTCTCTCTCTCTCTCATTATAAAGAAGAAAATGATGCATACATTTGAATTCATCATTATATAAGATTCCGATATTGGAGGATATAATTCTCTTTAAACCTTCTTTACACTGGATGTTAATAAATGATCATCAGTTCTGAACGATTTGAGTTCAAAGTTATTGTGTAGCAGGAACCACTAGGAAATAATGTAATACACCAGGTACACCATCGAGTCCAACACCAGCTCGACTACATGACCCCGTCTTATAAAGAGTTGATATTAATCGTAACCTATTTGCAATTGACATCAATCGCAAGTATGTACATACGAGATAGGAGACTGCAAACTCGCGATTGATTATAGGACTTGTGATTGATTTGGATCAATCAAAAGTTTTTATAAGACGGGGCACATGTCTAACGAAAGATAATATAAGGGAAAATAGCGGTAAGTTTTGAATCGGTGTGTAGTCGGTTTGGTGAAGTAACTGAGGTAAAAGGAAATCGAAGTAGTCATGCATAATCCCGACCCGGTTGCATATAAAACAATGGGGTCTCTGTGTGAAAATGATAAGTGTGCCTCTAAACGAAACCATGCAGTCCATTAACATATAACATAGGGTTATTAGGAATAAATATCAATTAATTGTTTGCCGGACATTGCCATAATTACAATCATGATAATTGACACGATTACCTTTTTTTTCCTTATGTATGTAATTTCTTAAGAATTGTTTGCGGGGATATACAAAGATGTGGTACTCCGATTACGATGAAGACGAACCGCGTTTTAATGCAGGGGACCTACTCAGAGCCGCATTCATGCAAGGTCTTTACCTAGAAAGACTTGAAAGTCTGGGCCTTCTCGAACGCAATGGCGATGACGAACCAGAAGAAAACCAAGCACAGCAAATCGAGGTAACCATTAAATAATGATCTTTAGAAGAAAAACTATACTACAAAAGTCTACCACTATTACTACTACTATACGACGACCACGACCACGACGACGACTACTACTACTACACATACTCTACTACTACTGCTACTAAGACTACTACTACTACTACTATTTCTATTTGAGCTACTACTGCTACTACTAATATTTATATATATATATATATGTTTCGAAGTCAAAGGTTTGCCTATTTATCAGCATACCACGACAATGATGTCCCGCCCCCCCCCCCCCCCACTCCGTGAACGGAGGGAAACCATATGTGTTGCCAAAATGTCCGGTAAAGGGGTACTTTTCACGCACCAAAGTCCTGCTCGTACATACACAAAAAAGACTTTACACACCGGACTTAGGGGGTGTTTTCAAAAGGAGGGAACATGCATATGCGTACCCTAAATAACACTGAGGGGAGGGGCCGGGAATGATGTAGGTCTACAGTGACTTAATTATTACAGCCTAAATGATTGCAGCCATACCATTTGCTGTCCACGAGATTAAAATTACGGGCCCATAAGTTGAAAGCAGTGAAAATAATATAAAACCTGCATGATTAAAAACTGATTTAAAGGTACTATGTCCCTTTTGCAGCCAACCTCAAATGCTGTAGAACTTTGCAGGAATTATGAATTTGTCATGTATGTCCTATCTGTGAAATTTAAACGTTAGCAGTGTCCTCATATTCAAATTATGCAAGGAAACCCGTTTACTTGCTAGACTTCACTGTCAGACACTATTGAGTGACTGACTGGCTTTTTTTTCTTCTTTGGTAATAACATACATGAAAAGAGTTGTAAAGGGTAAATGAGCATTTGTCTACATCAATAACCCACTTCTTGTGATGGCCAAGATTAAACTGATTGAGTCTTTGCGCAGCATAAAACATATGACCATTCGGTACAATTGTCTAAAAATCAAGACTATTACTTTTGGGCTCTATAGCCCTAAAGTCCATTTGACAACTAATAGTCATTATTTTCTCACTTTAAGACATTTTCAAGCCCCACCTTTTTTAGGGAAGTTCTAAATTAGTATTATCTTTCAAATGCAGTTGGAATTCAACTTTTTTATTTTTTTGGCCTGCAAATGGGACATAGTCCCTTTAAGTTTACTCTGATCGACAATTTTTTGTTGACGTTGCGATACGAATGCGATGGTAGTTGACCTATTCGAAGATCATGTTAGCGATCAAAATACTATTCCGCAACATTTAAGAAGACAGACAGTCCGAAAGACCGACATTATCAGTCTTGTTGTAAGTGAACCGTCCCCCCCCCCCCCCCCCACTCCGGGAACGGAGGGACGCATTCATGTTCCCAAAATCTCTGGTAAAGGGCACTTTTCACGCAACAAAGTCCGGCTCGTAATACACAAAAAATCGGCCCGTATCGCACACCGGAATTAGGGAGGGGGTGTTTTTAAAGGGAGGGAACATGCATATGTTGAACCGTCTGAACGTATCAGAAGGCCCGCGAGATTGACATCGTTCGCATGAGCTGTTGGTTTCGAGGCCCACATCCGTCTCAAGAACCTTAGATAAGACCCGCGAGACCAACATTATCGGTTACATGGGCTGTTGGCCTTTTACACCATTACACGATTATCTCCTTTTCTAATCCTGAAAAAATTGTAATCATGAATTCCGAAATAATTCTTATCATAAATATTTTCCCCCACAATTGCACGTCTCACAGGAAGCAGGCCGTTTAAAACAAGCTGGTTTACCACACCTAGCCGTACCTACCATCGAACCTGAATTCGGACGCTTTTTCAACGATCCTACCTACAGCGACATTACTTTACTGGTTGGAACTCACTCTTTTCATGCCCATCGTCTTATTCTTTCGTCGTGGAGCAGCGTCTTGAAGGATATCCTCAAGACTTCAGAGGAAGACTTGGCTGCAGGTGGCC